GGCAGAGGCTCCATCCCCTCGAACCTCACCTTGTGCCGGAACTGTGGGAGAACGGGGCGCAGGGTTAGTTCAGGAGCTAAAACACCCCACCCCACACCGCCCCAGCGCCGCTCCGGGAGAGCGGGGCCGCGGCATGCATGGAGCTGGGGGCGGACCCCAGATAAAACCACACGGAACTAGGGCCGGATCCCAGATAAAACGACATGGAACTGAGGACAAACACAAAGCCACGTGGAATTAGGAACAGATCCCACACAAAGCCACGTGGAACTAGCGCTGGGTCCCAGACAAAACCACGTGGAACTGGGGCTGGAACCCAGATAAAACCATGTGGAACTCGGGTGCGAACTGGCAGCTGATGCCCCTACAGTTCCCCAACCCAACTCTTGGTGCCCCAGGAAGATCCATTCCTCCAGTCCTGGCCCGAGGAACCTGGCTGTGGGAGGAAGCAGCCAGAGGCAGGGGAAGGCTAAGGCAGGTGGACATTGCTCCCTGGCTCCAGGGCCCTTCCCCACAGAGCTCCCAGGAGCTCTCACCTCCTTGGCCTTGCTGAAGCCCATCCACATCTTGAGCCTGCGCACGAGGAGCTCCACCATCTCGTAGTCCTGGGGCTCGAAGGCAGGGCGGAACAGCTCCGAGCGCATCTCGCGGTAGCTGTGCATCAGCACCACCGGCAACAGCCGCAGCACCAGCCACACCTCCAGCGCGATGTAGGTGGTGCAGAACAGCTGGCAGAGCCCCGGGGCCTCGGGCAGGCAGGGCTGGAGGCTCACGGTGCCTCGCAGCAGGGCCAGCAGCAGCAGGAGGCTACTGCCCACGCTGCGGAATGACTCGGAAGAGGAGGAAAAGAGCTGCAAAGGGGATGTGGGAGATGGGATGAGAAGGGCTCCATGGCAAAGTCCCGTGAGCCCCAATACTCCCTTGAGGAATGGCTCACAAACCAGCTGTGACAAGGGTAGCGTGACCAAAGCTGCCTGTGGCAGAGTGGGCACCGAGCACCCAGGGGACCCATGGGCTTTGCTCACACTGTGCCACAGGGGGACGAGGGGCAAGCAGACCACAAGCAGCCCCAGTGGGGTGAGAGGGGACAGGAGTAGTTACCAGGAAGCCAAGCTGGGCATAGGCCAGGAGGAGGAGGGTGAAGGCCACCCCTGCAGCTGTCAGCTCCTTCGCAGACTTCTGGAAGGTCTTCCCAAATACTGACCACTGCCTGACAAACCTCAGCTGCTGGCCAGCCTAGCACAGGAGAGAGGAGTCTGTTACTGCATGGACCCACTGCAGAGGCTGCTGTGACGTGCTCCCAGCCCAGGGAGGGTCTCTCAAACACATCTGAGAAACACAAACCCTGGCAGAGCACAGGACATCCTAGTCCACAGGTTCCTTGCAGACAAAACCATCCCATTGCCCACACTTGGCTGAATTCCCCAAGGGAACCAAAGAGGCTGTGGAGACCCAAAGTGCTACAGCAGCAAAGCACATGGCACCACTGCCACCCCCTCTGCCCTGCAGCAGGGCCTGAGGTGGCAGCACGATCTCAGTCCTCCATCTGTTTTGTTTTCCTTCAGGGCCCTTTGCTGTCCTTGCCAGGGACGATACAGGGATGGCACAGGAGGACTAAAGCACCCACTGCCCTCATGCTGCTGCCCCCAACCCTCCCATACCTGCACAGTGAGGAGGAAGAGGAGGGAGGCAGCCAGGCTGCTGAAGACAGTGCTGAGGAAGGCCACCTGGTAGAAGTTGGTGAAGCCCTTGCGGTTGCTGAGGTACTTGAGCCACTGCTGGTCAGCAAGGGTGGCCTGGCTGAGGTGCACCACCACAGTGCACGTGGTCAGCAGGATGAAGACCCACTGGCCATAGTTGCCCCATAGGGTGAAGTAGGTTCTTCCTTCTTTTTTGATGGACAGTGACTCCGACACCACAAAGTAGACAACAAACATCATGAGGAAGACCTTGGGGAGGAATGGAGATGTTAGCAGGGAAGAAGGAATGGAGGTCACCAGGAGAGGAGGAATGAAGGGGTTACCAGGGAAGAAGACCAATGCTTGACTGCGGTGCTGCAGACCCAGGGCAGCCAAAGCTGCCCCTGGACTAGGTCAAGTCCTACCAGCCCACACCTGAAACACCCACCATGTCCTGCCCTGCCTTCCTTGCTCACCCAACTCCCAGCTCTCTCCTGAAGCTCCCCAATGCCCATGTCCAATGCCTTCGTGGCAATGCCCAGGGGATGAAGGCTCCACTGACACCAATCCCTAGCCCAGGCAGGGTCTCTGTGGACATAGCTCAGCTGGCTGATGTCCCCACTGAGGGCAGAACAAACCCTCAGGTTTCCACAGTGAGACATGAGCTCAAAGAAGAAAAAATGCTAAGACAAGATCAACAAGAACAATCTCCTTCCGCTCAGTGCTGCCAGGGGTGTGCTCTGTGTGCTATCCAAGCCTGGAAGCAGAGTGGTGACAGGTTGGACTTGATGGTTGAGTAATGGAATTGATGGTTGAGCAACGGTTGGAGTTGATGATCTCATGCAGGGGACCTTGAGCCCACAGTGAGCAGCCTGGGCAGAGGGTCCCCAGAGCAGCGCAGTGACCCAGAGGGTGCAGGGGGAGGTGACACACTGACCATCATGAGGAGCTGCAGTGTGACCCCCGAGCTGAGGCGCAGCAGGGGGAAGGGGCTGATGGCGATGGCGGCGATGGCCTGGCCAGGTGCAGGGAACTCAAGGCGCAGCGTGACGGCCGCGTGTAGGTCCACGCTGGGGTGGTACTGCAGCAGCTCCACGAACACTGCTCGGCTCCTGCAGGGGGAACAGCAGCTCAGACACTGAGGCAAAGATCTGGAGAGGAGGAGGCTCAGGAGGGACCCCATGGATCCCTACAACTACCAGAAAAGGTTAGAGAGAGGTGGGGGATGTGTGTCCTGCCAGGACTGCAGGGAGAGGACTAGAGGGAATGGCCTTGAACCAGAGGGGGTGTTAGGAGAAATGTTTTCGTTGTTAGGGTGTTCAGGGTATGGTTTAGGGTTTAGGGGTCACAGCAGTGACAGGTTAATGACTGGACTTGATCTTAGAGGTCTCCTCCAACCCTGATGATTGTTAGGAACTGCAGTGACAGGACAAGGGGTAATGGGGACGAACTGAAAGAGGGAAATTTAGATTAGATTTCAGGAAATGGTTTTTCCCTGTGAGGGTGGTGAGACACTGGCCCAGGCTGCCCAGGGAGGCTGTGGCTGCCCCAACCCTGGCAGTGTTCACAGCCAGGTTGGCTAAAGCCTTGAGCAACCTGCTCTGGTGGGAGGTGTCCCTGCCCAGGGCAGGGGGTTGGGGCTGGGTGATCTCCAAGCTCCATTCCAACCCCTAAAATTCTATGATTCTAACAGCAGCTCTGGGGCCACTGCTGGGTAGGACCATCGATTTGCTCACTGTGACCCCCCAGCAGCACCCCTGAGCAGCTCAGGGGACAGCAGGACGTTTCCTTTGCCCCTGCCACACTCACATGTTGTCGATCCATGTGTGCTGCTGCAGGAAGTCGAGCTGAGCCCTGCTCTCCTCCAGGGAAGGGCTCAGCTCCTGCACGTAGCCACTGCTGTCGTAGAAGGAGATGTAACCCCAGTACCAGATCCTGCAGAGGAAGAGGAGCCAGGGGTGAGGCTGAAGGACACTGGTGGCTCTCCTGCGTGGCAGGCAGATGCACTGTGCCCCTCAACAGCTGCCTCGGTGTTTACTTCACAAGACAAAGGACAGGAGTGCATTGATCCACCTCAGTGTCCCCAACCTCAGAACAGCTCCGGGCCCTGTACTGCCCCAGATTTCAATGAAGATGCCTCCAGAGCCAAACCAGAGCAGAAACCAACGGTGATTTATGCAGGACACCCTGCCATCACCCCTTGAACAGAAAGCTAGTGCTGCTCTGTGGTCTCTGTGCGTGCTGAGTTCCCTCGCTCTGCAGCTTGGCTCTGCCTTGGGAGGTGCAGAGTGGAACCCTCTGCCCCTGGGCTTCCCAGAGCAGAATTGTGCTGCTGCTCAGACCATTTGGAGTGACCAGCACATCCTCAGGAGAGCAGAGTGTCTCCCACCACTCACACTGCCAGTGTGGGTGTACTCAGGGAAGCCCTTTGGCATTTCTTTGCCAGGCTCAGGGGGTGCAGTTGGCCTTGCTGGGAACCACTCAGAGCACAAAATCAACTGTAAAGACCTTATAAGGGCCTGTAAGTATTAGCTATCCAGTTCCTGGAGGATGGAGCAGGAGGTGGCAGCAGGCTGAGGAGCCCCTTACCCTGCCAGGTCAGGAGGTGAGTGTGCCCATGCTGCTGTCTTGTTCCCTCCTGCTCTCTTCCAGCCCACAGCATAGTCAGCAGTGGCAAAGCTGTTTGGGTCAGTGCAGTTCCTCCAGGCCCTGCCCATGCTCTGGAGGATGTCCTGGGCACTGCGCTGGCACTCAGCTGCAATGAGAGAGACCACACTATCACCCACAGGGAGCCCAGCATGGTGCGGAGCTCACATCTCCCTTCCTCCCAACCGCTCCACCTCAGCCACCCCTCCAGAAACCAACCCAACCTCTCTCTTGGGTGTAAATCCCCCTGATTTCACCATAGGGAGGGAAGGGAGCATGCAGAAGTTAGGTATTAAGAAAAGGATGGATATCAATAGAGAAAATAGAGAGTTATCCAGTTTAGGAGTCATGATATATCCCTGGCAGCAGCTCAAAGAGGATTAGCTGGGGACAAGTAGAGGAGAACACAGACATCCCAATTGGCCTTGGGATAACTGTGAACCAGCACTCTGGTCCCTGAATACACCACAGGCTTCTCACTGCCAGAGAGCAGGGTTAGATGGGATACTAGAAAGAAATTCTTCCTGGTGAGGGTGATGAGGCACAGGTACAGGTTGCCCGGAGAAGCTGTGGCTGCTCCATCCCTGAAAGTGTTTCATGCCAGGTTGGATGGGGCTTGGAGCAACCTGGGCTAGTGGAAGGTGTCCCTGCCCATGGCAGAGGTGAGACTGGATGAGCTTTCAGGTCCTTCCAACCCAAACCAGTCTGAGAATCCATAACCAGAGGCTCACTGCCTCCATAAACCTCTGCTCCTCTTCCAGCTGCATCCAGACCTGCCCATTTGAGGCCTCCAGGACTCAGCAGCCAGGTGTGAGAGCAGAGCCCCAGCCCTTGCACACCCACCGTCGTGCAGCCGCAGCTGGCGCAGCCTGGCTGCCCCCAGCGTGGTGCTGTGGCTCTCCTGGCCTGAGCCGTTCTTGTGCAGGTAGGGGAGGAACACCTGTGACATCCAGAGCCAGAACTGGTCCGACCTGTGAGGAGAGAAGGTGTCAGAGGGAGGCAGAGCCCTGAGGCAGCTCTGCCAGGGCTGTCTCTGTATGTCTCACCCACCAGTGTTTCACCTGGATGGGCACTGAGCTGTGCAGAGCTAACCTGGTTGCTCTGCCCCTGGCCAACAGGCACAGGCAGCATTCCCACCCATTCCAGGGGCTGGGATGGGGTCACAAAAGTGCTTATTTGACTTAAAGGTGATTGAATGCACTTGGCACCTGGATGAGGATCAGAGTAGTGGTCTGTGGCAGTGCAGTGGGAAAGAGATGCTATTCAGGACCAGACTCTGCTCCGCTCTCACCACTTTCACCCCAAACCCTCCGCTGAGCTCACTGAAATCATTCCTGACTCAACCAAAGTCTCTGTGACTGTGGGTGGCACAGACAGGCCCTGTCCATGTGCACAGAAGAATCAAGGGCTCTGCAGTGAGACACCCAGGCAGCATTCTGAGGTCAGGCTGGACTCCTGAAATTCCCAGTGGTGTGGAAACTCAGCTGGGGAAACTTAACCCAGTTAAACCCTGTGTGCAAAGCAAGGAAGGGCAGGACTGTATGAAATGTTATTTGTGGCTCTCATGTCACTGTTTATGGCTAAAGCTTGAGGTTGTAGAAAAAGAGACAGAGAAACTCGACCTTTAGAGCAGCTCCAGAAAGACAAACATCTGCAGCTCACACAGCTCCTTCCCATGGAGGAGATCATCAAACCTCTCCAACCCCACAGGCCTCTCTGCTCTCCAGGGGAGAAGCAGAACCACAGGGACAGAAGGACCTGCTCACTCTGAGTCCCAGAGCCACTCCAGTGCTTTGAGGACAGTTTGAGAACCTCTTATGGGAGAGACTGTGGAGTGCCAGCCCAACAGCCAACTTCCCTGACACACAGCAATCCCTTTGCCAGCCACATCCCCTGGCAGGTACCTCTTGATGAGCAGAAATTCACTGCTGCCCAGCTGCCGCTTGATAGAGCTCTGCAGGAGGAAGGCCTGGCTGGTGCGGGAGGCATCGCCATAGTTGGTGAGCAGAACTACCAGCAGGAACATCATGTAGATGAGGAAGTTCTGGCAAGCAGAGAGCACAGAGGGATTGCATGGAGAGGCTGGATCCCAGCCCTGCAGCAAATCAGTGCTTTCAACTGCCATGTAAGAGCCACAGAAGCTGTTCTTTTTCCATATGGGAAGTAGCTTCCAATGAAACCCAGAGCACAGAGGCAAAGTGACCAGCCTAGCACCACATGTCTGTGACAGGCTCTGCTCAAGCTCCCACACGCTGGCAGCTCAGCCTACCAGCAGTTATGGAGGTTTCCACCTTACAAGGGGAATCAGTTAATAACCTGATTCTGTCACAGCAGCTGTACATTCCCAGCACAAGTGTGGAGGATCAGCACTGAATGAGCTACACAGACTGAAAACTCTGCTCCCAGACAGGGAGTTGTGTTTCATAAGACTCAGCTAAGGAGTCTTCCTGAACCAGTTGGTG